AATAGGCCAGCAAGTACGAAGGAGGTGGCGATTCTGCATCCCCAGCCTGGCCTGTGAGGCACACTGGAGCCAGACCTTGAGGAGGAAAGAGCAGTGAAAAAAATTATAGTTGAAATTCCACCACCTCTCAGTCAGTACTATCCTTTCTTTCTCTCTTCTCCCCATTTATGCGTGCACTCTTACTTAACCTTCTGGATTCACCTCCCTAGATTTGTAACTTTTTCTGACTGTAGGACTTGCTAAACTACATCAGTTCAATATAGCTCAGTCTCTGAACAATATCAGAGATTGGGATGCCACCAAAGAATAGCATTTCTCTACAAAAATTTGTTTGCAAACTGTGATGTTTGGTGGTCCAATCAGAGGTCCAATCCTTGAGGATCAACAGCAAAAAAAAAAAAAGTATATTTAACCTCTTTAACCCAAATTCTGGATGATGAAATTCTCTGTGTCACATCTCTGATCCTTGATTTCCTTGTCTGTGTGATATTTTGTCTAGAAACATTTTTGTCACTGTTGGTTTCAGCGATGCTGGGTATGTAAAATCTATAACCTGTTGCTCAACAAACATTTCATTATCACTTGATTCATTATCATTTGTGACCTTTCAGTACCAGTGAATGTTGCCATGTTTATGAATTTCAGAAGAAGGTTAATAGAAAAACAGTTTTTGGTTTCTCTGAATCCTTTATTAATTTATATACATCTTCTGTCCCACCTTGGACTTATATCCTCTCCCAGCATGCTCCCAGTTTTCCCAATCCCCATTCACTGAAATTATTTTGAATTACTTTCTGAGATTTTATGCTCACTATCCCCTCTGTTCTTTCTGGATTCCTTTCTGTACACCGTACTCTGAATTAGGATGGATGCTGACAAATAGAACAGCATTATAATACTGTGTCCTTCTATAATTACATATTCAGTACATTACAGGGGGACATAATTTCCAGCCTTTCCACCCCACCTCCAAGTCCTGAATAATAATCAAGAGCTAGAGAAGTCAGCTGTCATACCTTGGAGTGCCGAGGAAGCAGGCACTGACCACTGCAAGGATCACATGAGGAATCACGTTTAATGTCAGCTGGTTAAAGCAGTGGCCAACGCTGCCATGAACCCACACAGGGAGTGGATCTTCTGGGCTGGTCCCACACAAACCAGCTAGGATGTTCTCCATCCTTTGCTGGTAATTCAGTGTGAGAGACAGGAGGTCCTAGGGTAAAGAGAAAACAGCATGAGGTACAAAATGTAAGAACTACAGCCCCAATCCCAAGACAGACTGTGATAGGAAATTAACGCAGAGCTAGAAGCAACTTCCTGGGTCACAGTCCAAGCCCTGCTATTGTGCACTTGCTATCATATTGTGAAGTAAACGCCTGAATGCTAGTTAGCAGTGTTAAAAATCACAGCATTCTTTATCGCAGCATGCTGGGCACCCGGAAGGGAATTCCTCTGAACTGTGCTGAACAAAAGGTTCAGCACATTTTATTATGAAGATCATTACACAGTGTTTAGCTGGTTCCCACTTTCTTTATATAT